TAGACCATATTCGTCTGGGTCGTCAAATTGTTCTAGGCCATTATCAGGATCATTGTAATTCAAATTTATTTGTGGGTGTATACGTAACTGTTCTGCATCACCATCTTCGGTATATTTTTGTTTTTTAGAAACCTTCTTTTGGGTGGTCTTTGGGGGCTTCCGTTTTGTTCTCTTGTTTTATTATTTTAAATTCTTATTTATCTCTATATCATTTTTTACTGGTTTGTTAGTTAATATACGGATTTTGGTTGTTTTACGATTTTGACGTTTATCTTTCCGAGACCCAGCTTTCGGAAAGGGCCGAACAATTTTAGGACTGACCACTAGGCCTACTTTTTCATCAGCTTTTTGGCTTGCAAGGATCGTTTGGTTGTCGTGATATAGGACATTGAGCCTATTAATTATGTTTTGCCTGCATTAGGACAAATAATGAATTTAATATTTTAGAATCTATTTAAAAACTAGAGATATGGTATTTTGCTGGTAACACATTTAAAATAACAGCCACGGAGGGTTGACCATATGGCCAAACCTCCCTTAAGTCAGGTTGGTCAGTGCTCCCTTAAGTGTCATTATGTGTTTAACCTATTGTGAACATCGTAAATTTGAGGTTATCCAAACAATGAGAATGCCAATAATTATACAGTAAAATACACTTCAAGAATAACTTGGTCTTTCAATCTTTGAATTAATATCGTTTCGTAAATTATTTACGTTATGTGGTATAAAAGTTGCAGCCAAGATGCAAAAAATTTTGTTCCTTGCATTACAACCAGAAGACATCCAGTTTTCCCTAGAAACTAGAACAGAGTGTAGATAACCTGCGATTGATGGACAACGTCAAAGACAGCTGTTTGGCGGCAAATTCAAATGTGGGTCAAGTCTCCCCTACGGTCAATGGTCCCCAGTCTCCTCTATATATAAACTCCTATATCAATCAAATTCTAAAAGTTATAAAAACGTGATACGCATTCTCAAATATGTCAGTATTTTTATAAAAAGGGTCCCTAACAACATGATGATGTTATATATAACCCATTATATATATGTTATATATAACCCATATATCGATCAAATCCGAAAAGTTAGAAAAACGTGATGAGCAAATGCGCATTCTCAAATCTGTCAGTATTTTTATAAAAAAGGGCTACAACATAATAATGGACCCATATACCAATACAATTCTAAAAGTTACAAAAACTTGATGCGCAATTGCGCATAATGAAATCGGACAGTATTTTTATAAAAAGACCTCCCGATAACATAATAATGATTTGCACAAACCGAGAATTAATGGTAGGTATATTAATATATGAAGCGCCCACCTCCACTTCCTCAATATAACAATGGAACCTTTAATATATTTATAATTTAATATGTAAGTGATGATAGTGAAAATCAAAAATATTTCAGATCCATTGTCTTTTCCTTTTCTCTGTCAATACGAACTTGTAAAAAATGTTATTTTAGGCGAATATTCATGTTTTCTCTAATTTTGAGTTGTAATATTTGTGATATAAACTATCGACAATCGCCCCTCTTTCTTATTGATTATGTGCTTCTCCGGGCCAATACAGCGCATTTAATTAATTATTATTTGACAAAGAATTGGAAGCAATTAAGATATATATTTATTTATAAACCAGTAGGAGTAGAAGGTAAACGCATTAATTGGTTCGGTAGCAGTGAAGTACTGTTACTTGATATGATATGATCTGATAACCATTTACCCTCAACCATCGGATTTCTTTCCCAATCCAATTAATTGCCAGGAAGCCCACTTCATATAGGCTTTGTGTGCTACAGAAGGCCCCTCCGATACCAAAGGTGATTCACGGCTAATACAAAAGAATAAATACATTATCTGTCACAACCGGTTTCAGACCGGATCGTGGAGTGTGCATTACGTACCCCACTCTACATTGAAAATTTTAAATCAGCACTCTAAGAAGAGGTATCAAATGAGGGTTGTTTTTTTTCTTTTATATATAAAAATAATGTTAATAGTTTTTTAAAAGCATTATATTAGTTGTTGAGAAGGAAGATTCCAAATGTTGCCTGGTCGATGGAAGGCCATTGGTTTGAAGGCTTGATTTATATTTTTTTATTCTCTCATTATGAATATGAATCAAAGCTAGTGTTGGAAAGGCTTAACGAAGATGGGAAGGCCATGAAGAAATATTTTGGTGGGTCTCGCTACCGGCCGATAAGAGATCAACTTGTCTCAGCTGTCACTAGGATATTAGCTATGTCCTCGGATCGGGTATCAGTTTTTTCCAGGGCAACAGCTGACAGCCCAACCTTTCTTTTACCTTTTTATATCCTCCTCTAATAAAAACCAGGGCAGGATCTTATAACGGCCACTATAAAAAAGTTCCCGCTGAGGGAAAACAAACCGTTTGACTGGCGCCGACTCTAGCACACCCATCTTCAACCCTTTTTTCTTATCCGAAAACAATCATTCAATCACATTAAGTAGTCTCAATATTCAGTTGAATCTTTTCATCGCAATACCTAGTGTTTTTAATAATTTTTTTCTTCCTGTTTTTTCAATATTTATATATTCTCCAACAGGTACTTATGCATTTCTACTCCAGTTCCTTATTCAAATAAAAACTCATGTCTATAATTTTTTTCCAATTTTTCTATAGCAAATGGTTGTAGTGCTAATTATATCTAAGTAGATAGGGTAAAATAAATATGGAAAGTAAGCATCGTCGAGAGTAACCTTGAAATAATTAACAATGCATTGGTTCAAGTAATATATACTGATGTCCATTATTTTTGAGGAATATGCTTAGGATATGTGTATTTTTTTTTTTTTTTTAAATAGAAAGATTTGAAGTGCCTATACTCTACTTACTCTATAAATAAAGAGGGCATTATTACTCCATTATATTACTCCATAATATTAAGTTTATATTAATCCATAAATATAATAGTATGAATATAGTATTTTTTTATTTATCTGCTGGTATATTCTAACAGAAAAATCAGAATAAATAAGTGATGAAAAAAAAATTGGCGAAGCAAAATTCAATCAAACCTATTAACACATACATTTAACTTTTTTTATCGTAGAAGTACATATGTATATCTTACCGACATACTTATAATATTCAGAGGTACATATCCCTTTTTATCAAATGATTAACGTCCATCTAAAACGCCCTGAATTTACTTTTTTATCTATGAAAACTTTCGGAAATGGAGCGTTTTCTAATTAAATTAATGAGTTTAATTTAATTTAATTAAAGTAGATCCCCTCCCCCCAATAACAATGGGGCCAGAATATCGTTTCCACCCCCCAATAATTTAAAATAAAAAAAATTAAAATTGATAACAAATAAGCTACATGAATGAATAAATTATTAAACTAAAACCGACTAAGAAAATAAGAAAGGTCGACTAAACCTAAGAGCTATAAGTTTTATTTTTTTTTTTATTTATTTTTTATTTTTTTTTTTTTTTTTTTTTATCTATCTGTTTATTGAGTAATAATACATAAGACCTATAAGCAGATACGTAACTATTTTATCACGACCTAAATATTCCTATTATTTAGGAATTGTCATTCATATTTAGAAATATGTTCTTTGATTTTGTGGTTCATTCACCTCTTATTCGGCGATATAGAGATGATACATTGTATTTCGGTATTTGTTAGCATTAACATTGTATTTATTAACATTAACATATAATGTTATAGTTTATATTATTGTATTAATAATACTTATTTTGCCAAGGACAGCCTCCAGCTGACGGTTTTAAGAACCAAGCCGTATATATTTTTTATTGATCTTGGATACTTTTGCTGTATGATATTGTATAAATACTCAATAAAAAATTCATTCATTCGTTCATTCACCTCATATTAGGAAATCTTCATTTTCACTTGATTTTCTTATAAATTGTCTCTAAAAAAGTTGGAAAAAATATATTTAATAAGCACGTGTATAAACATATTTTTTTAAGTCAGACTGTGTTTTTTTTTTTTTGAGATTGTACAAACCAAAAAATCAAAAGTATTTTTCAGTTTATAACATTATTCATTTTTAGTTGAAAAAGTTATAGAAATGTACCTATGTTATGATTATGCCTCCCTTCCTCTCATGTATAATGTATACGTATTGTAATAAATCCAATTGTTTTGTTAGAGATACTTTCAAACATATCCAAAAGCACATAAAAAAAATCCTAAAACTATCTGAACATATAATAATAATAATAAGGCTTAGCGAACCCGAAGGTTCGATGCCGACACCACCAATCGCTTGTTACACACCTCTCTCCACCGTTCGCCGTCCAAACCCAGTTCCTTCAGATCGGCTTTAATGCAATCTTCCCACCTTCGCTTCGGTCTACCCCTCGGACGCTTACCATTCAGCACAGCAAATATTAACCTTTTAGGAATTCTCTCGTTACTAAGCCCAACAACTTTACAAGCCCATTTGATTCGCCGCGATGAAATTACCTCAATTATACTACCCGGATACATCTCACGCAATTCGGCGTTGTGTAACCGTCTGAACTCTCCGGTTAACTCATCCTTCTTCGGTCCGAATATTCTACGCAATACTTTATTTTCAAAAACCTTAAGACGCTGCTCATCCCTTAATGTAAGCGGCCAAGTTTCGCATCCATAAAGAACTGTAGGCAAGATAATTGTTTTATAGATTCTAATTTTTAAGTTTCGGGACAAGAGGCGCGAACTAAGTAGTTTTGTGAATGTATATCTGAACATATACTTATATATAAATTTATTTTTAAATATGCAATATTATATTTTCTCGTTTTACAATAAGTATGTTGAAGATGGTATGAATTAGCGCCATATTTTATTTATTATTTTTTTTTTTAATTCATCGCCCCTCCCAATCAAAATGAAAAGTTGGCGCCTATGAGCCTGAGGTATGGCAAGAAGCCGAGATCCTTGCTAATAGAATAAAATACTGGCACCACTGCCTCTCATTCCAATATTACTTTTTTATTCTTTTTAGTGAACTTATCCCAAAGAGCCCTGATGAAGATGGACGGAAGGAATGGGGTAAGGATTGAGTAGGGGTAAGGAGGGTTGTGTAGCACACTCCAATCCCGGAACCGAGGCAAACAGATTAGAGGCAGAAACCGATTAGCTCCTCTCTAAGCTGGAAAACAGTTTTGCTTTCTCCCCAACCCCTTCCCCACTTATCCCCTTTCTGAAATTTAATACTCAAATATTTAGTGAGCTTACATTTTCTTGTTCGAATGTAAATATTTTTAAAACATTCAAAGAGGATTTTTACATAATGAAAAAGAAAGTCTGCCAAGTAGTGTTACCCAACATCGGTATTAGTCTTGCAAAGTGTAAGACCAAGACCCAGACTGGTAAAAAAAGTCGTTTTTGTAAATAAAAATTAAGGCAAAATAGTTACTAATACATGACAATTTTAAGAATTTGTGGAACCAACATGCTTTTGCATTTAATTCTTCTGATTTTTCATTCGGGCTTAGTTAGGTTTCCCCTATCTGAAAAATTACAGTAATATCTCTATAGGAATAGACTAATGGGTAACTGCAAATCTGTCGCGAGACTCTTGCGCAAGAACAATAGTAAGACCAAGACTGAGTGCGCAATGCCAAGACTCGTCTTAGTCTCGCATTTGGGCAATACTACTGCCAAGTAAAGTCAGTATAGCTTTCACGCCGTTTTCATTGGCTAAAAAAGATCTATATTCCAAGGTCTAAATATTTTCGTATGAGAATAAAATCTGAATAAAATTGTGTTTGATATTTATTGGGTTTGCAGATTGGATATTCGGTGATACTTAATTAAAAACATATTCCAGTGCATACTGAATATGCATTGTTTCACTACTGTCAGTGCAACAGGTCGTATGTAAGAATTGAATGTTGATTGGCTAATTGTTTCTTTATTATTTATTAGTATTATTTCATATTTTATTGTTCTCATCTATTTTCCATCGTAGCAGACTGCTTATATCAGTTGCAGACTACATAATGTCACCTTTAACAGCCATAGATATGCAGTAACTAACCATCCTTGTTCTTTTTGACTTCTCCAAAGCTTTGATTCAGTAGACCACAACATCCTTTTAACCAAACTTAAAAATATCTCATTTTCTTCTAGTTCCCTTAATTGGTTCCAATCCTTCCTTGCCGGTCGCAACTTCCTTTCAGAATCTCTACCTCTGTCCAGACGCATCCCACTGGGCTCTTCCTTATCCTCCACCCTTATCTCCACCCTAAAACAGTTCAATCGTCTATGTTATGTCGTTCCATGTAAGTTCCGTCAACTCCTAGTTCCCTCCCTTGTTTTCCCCCACTTTGACTATGGTTGTATGGTGTACGGCGGACTCTCGGGAGATTTCGAGCTGCGCATATTACCAAGTATTACACCGAGTTGAAGTGGCTCTATCCATCGTATCGCCGTCAGTACTTCCTAGCCACCTTTCTGTACCAGATCATTAGAACTCATCGGCCCTCCTATATTTTTCACAGCTTACAATTAAAATACTCCATCCAATCCCGTCCCACTAGATCTCGCACTTCCGACCTGGAAGGCGAAAGGTATACGAAATATACCTTATAGAACTATCTAAGTATCCCCCCTCTCGCAGGACTACAATGCTTCCCAACCTTCCGTAGGGAGGAAGCAAATAACAGTAAAAAGATTTTTTTTTTTAAATATACATAGAAAAATAACCTTCCAGAATTATTTTTCTACTTTATTTATTAGTCCAATTTAAAAAAAAACTTTATTCCTTTTTCATTGTTACAATTTTCAATGAGTTAAAAAATACAACCTTACCAACTCAAGGAGCTATTCCAACCCCTGTTAATGATCCAATTATTATTGCAACTTTTTTTTTCTACCATCGGATTTCTTTACCTCAAAACGTAGTTAATTGTCACTTTCTGTTAGCAATGTTCTTGAATAATAAAGAAAAAAATCATTTTTTAAGAACCTTCCATGAATTACTGCCTCCGAATCAATAGAAGATTATTAATATGCATACTTGATGAAGCACATATTGCTCTAAGTACTTTTATATTTGTTGTTTTTTGTGCGGAATGATTATTATTACTGATTTTTCATCAAATTTGAGTCTTATTGTAAAATACTATATAGCCACACTGCTACTGCTGCTGCTACTGGTGGGGGAACTCTCCAACTATCCAACCCCTGGTGGCTACCTTGAGATTCCTTCCGCTTACTAAACAGAGTGGGAATGTCACGATCCATTTCCCGGGGCCGCCTCCGAAATGAAAAGTAACCGACTCAGGTGGGAATCGAACTCACTCGGGGACTACACGCCCCAATGAGCTCTGCCATCCCGTCCTCATTATATAGCCATAGTATGGTATGCTAATGCTGTCGAATCTATATTCAATATTGAATTCAATATTATATCCACGACAGAAAGCTATTTGTAAGATATGAAAAAAAAACAAAAAAAAAAAAACGGTACAGGCTTGAAAGTTAAAAGAAAAATGCATCTGTTTATTAGAGATCTTTCTTGCTAAATACAGAGTGCTAAATGATCAATTAACATTCGAGCCTTTTTAATTATTTGTAACATGCCTCTTCAGCTTAATTATTGAAATAAAAATAAAATGACTTATTTTTTTTTATGATTCTGTTCCGTGGGGGGAGCGGTGAGGTGATGGGGGAGAGGGAGGCTGGAGGGGACGACAGGCGGACTGACAGAATCATTCATCACTCATAGCCAACCAAGCTTATATCTCTCTTCCCAGCCATACTACCCTTCTCACTTCATTTCATTCAAATAATTATTATTATCCATAGGTTATAAACTGTAAAAAAAATATTTATTTGGAAATATATTATCTATACATATTATTATGGGACGGTGGTGACGATCTCTCCCTCCCCAATATTCCAAATGATCCGTGCCATCATAAAATAACTTTACTTTTACTATGTTCACGCTACTCGGACATAATAAATACAATTAAAACACAATAAAATAAATACATGTAATCAAACCAACAGACAAACAGTCCATAGGGGGAGGAAAAACAGACAGTAAAGCACATAGTACAGAATTGAATCAATTACTTGATAAACGATGCTAATTAGTAGACAAGGAATATGTTTCCGGTGATAATGTAAAAATCAAAAAATGTTACCCACGTGGGAAAAAAACAAGTAAACCATTGCCATTTTAATCAGTGTAGCAATATGTTTATAATTATCATTATATTATAGAAAAGAATTGTATCTTCTGCAATTCTGATGATGGGGAAGAAATTCCCTTAACGTTAGATATAAGCATATGGGACAAATATTGAAGTTATGTGTCACAAAGGAAGTATTTTTGCCATACTCCTGAATAGTAATCTGATACTTCCCAAATAAAGAAGACATTTTTGCATATTCGTATAATGCTTAAGAATAAATAAGTTTAGTACTATTATTGTGCCATAAATGAAATCGTGCATGTTTCACCCTGATTGAGGGCATTCTGTCAACACAAACGTGACATTAAAGAGAGCTTGCGGAAGAACATAAGTGCTAATCTTACTCGATATTTTATCACATTTATAGGATTTTTGTTTTTCATAATACATTTGAGTAATTAGCAATAGCAATGATATCTAGTAAAGTTGGGTATTTTTGGCCAAACTCGAGAAGACGTCGGGAATCGCTCTGGAATTTGAATAACCAACAATACCATTGGTAGGAAACATGAATGAGCTATGAAACTACGCATATAAAACCTAACTGTTTACATTAATAACAAACTTGATGTTTTCAGAACATAATTCACAGGTGTCTTGCTTCCCGTTATGGAGAATTTTCTTTTTTTTTCTTTTTCAATTCCATAAAATATATTGGCATTTTTTGATGTTTTGTAAGACAATATACAGCTAATATCATAAAAGCCAAATTAAAATGAGTAAAACATTGATCTCTTTTTGCAGGTGAGATGAGCCAAGAAACCAGCTCTGATGTCAACTCTGAGCACAACTCTTCAGCAGATGAGGACTCGCAGCTGCGATTGAGGCTAAAGAGGAAACTCCAGAGGAACAGGACATCCTTCACTAACGAGCAGATAGATAGCCTTGAGAAAGGTAAATTTAATCGTTTTTTTTTTTTTTTTTTATAAAAATTAATTTTATGAAAATTGCCCAAGTAATGGACACAATTTAGTCATTTTACAAATATGATGGTGGTTCAACTACAAACTATTAGCCCTCCAATAAAATTTGGCAACAATGAAAATGTTTCGGGCTCAAAAATTGTCGATTTGTACGTATTTCTGTCTGCTGAATTAAAAAATCACCATAAAGTAACAGATTAGCTCTTGCTTTGGAGATGGAATTTTTTTTCGGGAGTTGTTACACAAATAACAAAACACAATTGATCTTCAGCTGTTTGTAAATCATAAACATAGTTACTGTTGCTGTGACTGGGAGTTTCATCTAGTTTCTGCTGCAATTAATGCAGAATTTCTGGTTTGAGGGTGCTTTTTTAATGGCAAGTTTGTAAAAATGCCAAGAAAATGTGTAACTATGGTGAATAATTTCTGTTTTATTTGTGGTGAAACAACGTTTTCGTCACAGAAACGTAATCTGACGCCTTTTGTGAAGACTGCCTATCAGCATTATTTCGTTATGAAAGTAGGGGACCAGGATAAGTCTTGGCTCCACATATACGTTGTAACGCATGTTCTGTTACACTGCGAGAATGGATGACAAAGAAGAAACGATCTATGGCTTTCGCTGAGCCTACATACCATACAGATGACTGCTATTTCTGCTTGACTCAACCAATAAAGGCAGAATTGTCTATGAAGAAAAGAAGAACAGTTCAGTAGTCGAATTTTCGATCTGCTATTAGACCCATTCTGCATTCAGATAGTTTACCAGTTTCTACTCCAGCCGAAAATTGTGTTTGAAGTAGAAAATGAAGACAGTGTGGAACAAGAACCAAAAAAGCCTTCCACATCCCGTAACCCTGATTTCGAGGGAAAAGATAACAAACCGCACTGACTGACTCAAGCGGAATTGAGTGATCTTGGCCAGTCAAAGAAGAAGGCAAAAATTATTGGGTCTCGACTGCAGCAATGAAATCGTCTCGAAAGTGATGTCAGAATCTCAGAGTGCAGAAAACGTCACAGGGAACTGCTTCCTTTTTTTTAAGAAAAAAAAATAATCTTGTTGTTTGCTGCGACAATGATGACTTGATGAAATCTTTGAAATTGAACCATGATCCAAATGAATGGAGGCATATAGACTCCTCATCATAGAGTCCTCCAAGCTTAGTTTGAAAGCTGTGTTACTTCACAATGACCTTTTTTCTTCTATTCCTGTTGGTCATGCACTTCATATGAAGCAAAAATATGCAAAGTCGTTGTCATACTCTTAGGAATGCAACTGGGATACACAAAACACTGCTACTTTTTATGTATGTGGGACAGTAGAGATAGGAAATTGCATTATATTAAAGGAGACTGGCCTGCAAGAAATCTTAACCCTAGCGAGAAAAATGTCGTTACCAAGCCTCTCGTGGACCCAAAAGATATTCTACTTGGACCCCTGGATATCAAGCTGGTTCGATGAAAAATTTTGTCAAAGGTATGAACCAAAAAGGACGGGCCTTCAAGTACATAAGAGAGCAATTCCGAAACTAAGTGATGCAAAAGGTAAGGTAGGCATTTTTGTCGGGCCACAAATTCGATTACTTGAGAAGGATCCCGCATTTGACCAAGTTTTAGAAGGGAAAGAAAAGGAATCTTGGGAAGCCTGCAAGTGAGTTTTTCGTAGATTTTTAGGCAACAAAAGATATGACAACTACATGCATTTGGTGACAGTGCTCCTGCAAAAGTACTATAGCTTTGGATGCAACGTGTCCCTTGAAATCTATTTTCTCCATTCAACCTATACTTTTTCCCTGCTAGTTGTGGAGCTTTTAGCGTTGAACATGGAGAAAGATTCCATCAGGATATTTCTGTTATGGAACAAAGATATCAGGGCTATTGGAATGAAGCAATGCTCGCGGATCATTGTAGTTCTTTTTGTAGGGAAGCTCCTGAACTCTCTTACAAGAGGCAAGCTAAAAGACGACGATCTCTTCCAGCAATTTAGAACTCTAAGAATGTAACTACCATTTTGAAAAATCAAATGCACTTTCATTGTTGTTAGCATACATAATTAAAATGCATCTTTTTTTCTTAACCCGTTAATATGAAATACTTTCACCTAGTATATCACAGAAACAAGAGACAAGAAACATTTTTCATTGCCATATTTGTTTTTCACAACCTATAATTAGTAAGAATTGACTCATCAAGTGCTGGACTAGGTCAACAACGAAAAGTCGTACGAAACTGAAATTCCATGATTAAGGTTTTTGTATGCTTGCAGCAACGTTTTCGTCAAAATTGGCTTACCGTAAATGGCATTTTATATCTTCGGTGTAACACGTTTTTATGTTTTTCTCGAAAACGGCTCAAACGATTTTGATTAAATTCTTTATCTCAGAGTAAAATTAAGCAGTTTTTGTAAATATTATGTAGGTTTTATTCTCATTGATTTTCTCTAACAGGGTTTAAATAGCTAATTTTCAATAGTAGCTTCCCCTATAGTACCTTTATTTATTTCTATTTGAAACAGATAACAATTTCTCATTAGTCTTTCATATAAAAAATATTTAAATATAAAATATGAAAGAATTTGAGAAATAAGAGATCGTAACAGAGAATAGTTGTAATGAAGAAACCTAGCTCACCCGAAGGCTAGAACTCTCTTCCATACGTAACATGAGCTTAATATAATACCGACACCAATAATATTATGTAATATTGGTATTATTTAATAAAATATGTCCTTGGGAAGTATTAGTAAAAAAAGGCCTTTTCAGTCTCAATAAATAATTATTTTATTTCAAATTTATCCAAATTTTCGCCTCTTCAGGCATCTTCAGGGATAATCTGATTTTACAAGTAATTTAAATTGTCATCTGAAAAAAATATATACCAAAATCTTTCAGAGGATTTACTATTGAACACTAGCCCATATATATATATATATAAACTTACTCGCTTATAGCAATGAACCCACTTGCACCCAAAGAACACAACCGAATGAGACCAATTCTTCAAGGAGGAGAGGCGTTTCCAACATTAAAATATTTAAATATTACGTGACTAAAATTGAAACCAAAATATATTATTATTTTTAAATAAACCATTTAAATCTATAAATTATCGAACATTATTTTATTTACAGGTAATATATATATATATATATATATATATGTATATTTTTTTATTTTTACATCTGATAGATTAAGAAATACCCTAATCAGACGTCTATTGATATTATTGTTTGTTCACGATATTTATAGTTTCAGAAAAAAAAAATTTCATTCTTTGAATCAGTTTTATAATTTACCGCCCTATCAAGGTTCTCTGATATATAAAGTGCCGAGAATTATCTTAAGTTAAATCTATGTTTTAAGTCAAATGCATGTTTGGGTAAAGTTGTTTTAGGCTCTTTTTTACCTTCATTTTTGTATATATAATCAGTACATGAATTTTTATGTTCGTAAAGTCTATTGTTGAGATTTTGGGCTGTCATGCCTATATAATAATTTGGACAATGTAGACATTTTATTTCATAGATTAAATTATAATTTTGTTTTGTAATTATTTTATCTTTAAGAGCTGTCAAATTGTTGTAAAGCTTATTTGAGCTTGAGTATGGAAACAGTGGACTATCCTTATTTGGATCATTAAATTTTATGGGTTTATCTATTTCCTTTAATATTTTATACCACGCAGTAGTAATTAGCGAGTCAGGGTATAACTTCTTTTTGAGAATTTTAAAGATTTGATATTTCACTATATTCAAATAATCACTATCAGTAAGTTATATAGCCTTACCCATGTAATTACTAATCACATTCAATTTTTTGGTTCAATTAAACGGGTGGTGCTATAAGTAATTTAAAATTCTTCTTTCTTTGTCCACTCAATTTTCAATTGATCATTGCAGTTCATGAGCATGATATCCAACATACGAATGCAGTTATTTAGTTTTATTTCATGCGTAAATTGTAGTCTATTGTGAAAACTATTTTACGAATTGAGGGTATTATCAATCTGATCATTTTATTATTATCATTAAGACATCGTCTACATATTTTAAAAGTAGCTTCAGCTCAGATTTTAATTTTTAACAAACATATTTTATTAATTTATTCATTACAATCTCGCTAATACTAACCACTGACCAGTCAACTGGCGAGACAGGCTATAATCATACTTGAATATACCATTGTTACATATAAGTTGAAACTCTCCATGTAGATTTGTTTATTTATTATAGCTGTGTCCCATTCCTCATTAATTATATTATAAGCTAAATCTAAGGAACCTGCGTGAATTATTACATTAGATGTATATCACTATTTTTTTTCTTTTACTTTAAATAAATTATTTATGTCATATTCGATAATTCTATTGAAACAATCTAATGAGCTCTTATAGAATTTTGCTAATTTCTCAGTGGCTCCTTTTATATTGTTTACAATGAGCCTTAAAGGCTTATCACTTTTGAATAATTTAACCAGTCCGTATATTCTAGGACAAATCACAGTATGCGTATTTAATAATTTCTTCTGAGCATCATCAATATATTTATTTTTATGTGATTTATCAATGAATTTATTACATTTATTAATCAGCTCATTGAAATGTATAGATTACTGCGATATAAATATTAAAATTTATATATATGAGGGTACTTAAACAAATAAAAATACACACAATAAAATATAAATCAATATAGCATTTATAATTTTTACTTTCACTCCCCCTTTTGTCTGAAAATACTTATTTCTGCTAAGACGAGGGTGGTAAGCGAAAGTTGTGTGATGCCAGTTGTAAAGATGCTATAAAGTACAAAATAAAAATAATTATTTTCCGAAACTATAGAATGCGTTGGGTATATGGAACAATTATTTTCAACATTGTTTAAGTTTTCACCTTCTATCAGTTAAAACAACATAAAATAATACATCTATTATCATCGTAAAGTTATAAAGAATTATAATTTTCAAAAATAAATCAAATCCCTAAAGGCTCCGATCACTACGGAATTAATCGATACTTTTATTTCAATATTTGTTCCGTTTATATTCATCCATATTTTTTGTAATTAACTAGAGAGGGTTTCACCGGATCGGAATGGCAGCGGTCCACTCAATATAAAGCATTCATTCATCAGTTCGGAAGCAATCCATGGCCATGGCAAATGCAAATTTGAATTGATATTTTTAACAAGGTCTAGGGATTGATTAACAAACAAAAAATCGAGATATGGTGGCTCCAAGCGGGCAACAATGAATGGAGGTTGGAGGCGTTCAAACACAGCTGTACCACATTTTCCGCTCCAAGAATTCACACGTGCTGAGACTGATTGCATTACTCAAGTCCGATTGCCTCTTACAAATGTTCCCCCAGTATCGGCAATTTCTAGTTAATCCCATCTTTCAAATCATTTGCAGTTAGATAATTTTGTTTGATTTTTCCATATCTCAATTTGTTCCAGCCCCAAGATCCTTCGCTCAAGGAATGGAGTCTATTTCATTTAAAACTATAACTCTTAAAATGTTTCTTAGTATAAATATAAATTTACTCATATTTATTTTAACAGATTAGTCTTAACGATTGGATGCAGGTATAGTTTAACGTAGACTATAATCTAACCAATGGTTAAAGTTGAAATTATAAACATCTATTGGTAGCCAAATGAGAAAACATTATGATTAATATGAAATCCTCTTGGGGACAATTTCTAACTTTTCACCTCTTCTTTTTTTTTTTTTTTGCTATTGACGAGCTTTAGTTGTATTAATAAAAAAAAATTGGAAAAATTGTATATGAATAAAAAAGTAAATAATACTTTGTTCAAAACCGCTTATCTTCTCATACATTGCTTTGAAATTTTGATACACTATTGAAATCTAATTCAGGAGTGTTTTCATATACACTTCATTACAATCCGGCCTTTGGTTTTGAAATAGCAGCCGAAAAAGGTGAATTGGTAGTGCCAAAACGGCTGGAACGATTCTAATGAGACTTGGCTAAAGTTTTCTATTATACACCATTTTAATTTATTTATACCGAGAAAACCTTTAAAAAAAGTCACGATGAATTCAGAACTTTATTTGCGAATAACGCAAAATTATTGGTGCTATTAAGCTTATGTATGAAACCTTCCTGAATTCCCTCCAAAAGAAAAAAAAAATCATCGAAATTGAAAAGAATTATGTCTGATAAAATATTTTTATTGCTTTTTTTTTTTTTTAAATTTTTTCGGTTTATATTTTTTATGAGAGCTCAAATTTGATTACAAATTTATGTTTGAAATAAATATATCTATAGTGTAAGTACAATATTGAAATGAAACAATTTGTAGCGACCGAAGGAGCAAAGTGGGTTCAAATATTTTCTTAAAAGAAGTAATGCTAATAAAATAAAATAAAATTCACATTCTTATTTTCCAATAACGGTACTCTAATGTTTTATTTCGTAAGTATATATAAAAGTTAATAAGTTAACAAATATATAAGAGTGGGAAAAAAACTGTTGGAAAGATGGTAATTCATTTATGTTTTCCTCTAGTGTTCAATATAGTCCTCAAATGATTATGGTCACATTTGGACCTGTTGGCAAATTATTGTTGACTATTATTTTTTAAAAAGTTGTGAGGCTATTGGTTATCATCAGTAACATCAGTAATGAAGAATACATTTATTATTACACTAATGTCCATTTTAGAGAGTTATTTTCTTAACTATATTTGATTAATTTGATGTAATAGATTTTTTACAATTTATTCTCTTGTTAGCAATATTATGGTAATTTTTAAAAATGCCATGGAATATTGAACTAAATTCTAATAAGTTTCGTTTCAATTTTTTTTTTCTGTAAAATTTACTGAACTTTAATACTTTATGAATTGTCACTTTCTTTTAAATACTGCTATTATGTTTTTGTTTTTATATTATAATAAAAATGGGATAAATCATACATTAAAATAAATGGCGACACATTTTTACCTTATTTATAATAAGGTAGAGACTAAGAGATGGTTGAGCCACAAGTCATGTCTCAAAAAGGAGACGAAATGTCTAGGGTTAGGGGTTAGGCACCCAGAGGCCTCATTTCTGTTCTGTACCATTCCTCGAGAGCATAAAACAGCCCTCTGTCCTTTGCAATTATGTCAAGTATACATTTTTTTTTCTCTCATGTAGTTTTCCACAATTGGAATCTATTTGTAATAATGTGTTTTAAAGACCCATACCGAATATGCTCATAGCTTGTGCATTCGCTAATGATATTAGGGAAAAAATTGCCCTATTTTTCATGTTTGAACCACTTTGATGAAAATTCATGGAATGCATGAGCCGTGGTATAATGTTTAGTTAATACATAGTTTACATCATCGAATATCAAACGCATCCAATCCTTCCAGTCCAAAGTCCTTCGAACAATAGTCAATGCTCCATATTATGTCACAAACAAGACCCTACACCATGACCTTAACATCCCATATGTCCAAGACATCATCCCATCCAGATCCTTCAACTTTCACCAGAGCCTCATTCATCATCCCAATCCTCTAGCGCAATCCCTATCCAGTTCCGAGCATCCATACCACCCCCCTCGAAGGTTGAAACGGCAGTGGCCTCGACATCTTTTCTAAATATGCCTTTGGAGTCCTGGCAATGGCCAGCTTCTCCACTCATGTCCTGAGCGTCTGTGGCTCTAGTGCCCTCTTTCAGTCTCCACTGGCTTCTAATACTATTGATGCGGCTGGAAAAGTGGCACTGGGATCTTCCGGTGTCTTGCTTTGCCTTCCACGTGTGGGGGAAAAAGCCTGGCTCGGAGATTCTTGGGCGAATGTATATATTGTATATAGTTATGATTGTGTTTATAAGTTTTTATTTTATTTTATTTGTCTATTTTATATTTTTTTTATTTACCTTCTTCATCAGTATTATTTATTTACTTCTTATATTTATATTTATTTCTTTATTATTTGTATATATTGTATGAATGAGAACTTTTAGCCCTAATGCTTATAGCCCTCCAGCAGTGGCTGATTGTATTATTATTCAATAAATAGATTTTAAAAAAAAAATACACAGTTTACAGTACATACTTGTACACCATTATATGGTCCACTAACGGATCCTGCCGGGGGAAGGCGAGCCCCTCTCTCCTCTGGATGGTGGGAAAAATGTTCCAAAAACAGCTTTTTAAAGGAAAAAGAAATATAAGAAAAATTCATCCTCATAGAGGAATTTTCTAATGTAATATACATAAAAAAATATTATCATGACCAGCACTAGCGAATTCTGCCAGGGGACGCTCCTTCCCCTGGAAGGTAGACAAAAAAATCCGGAAAAGTTCCAAAAAGTAACTATTTAAAGAAAAGAGAAATATAGGGAGAATTCATCCTTATAGACAAATTTTATGATGTAATATTTAAAAAATGTATTATCATAACCATTTTTATTAATCGCACAGTTTGTCACATCATGTCACCTCACCAGGCTGTCGATAAACTTGAGCCCGGCGATATTTTGTGAAACAAAGAATAGAATGTAAATGCGAAAGTTGGCTTGTAGGATGAAATGATGTAGTTTTTGGGCCGCCGTCAGATGCGAAGGCTTGTGCTCCTACTCACTCCGAACTGAGTCTCGTTGGTGGAATGCACTGTTTATAGTAATAGATGAAAAAAAAATCAGATAAATCTGGCTTTTTTGGGTGTAAAATGTTTTCTCTTGGTGACCCCTGTTAGCAATTTTGTTTTTTACATGCCTAAACCCATATACAGGGTGTCCAATAAGTAGAAAAAATATTTAAAGAAGTAATAGGAGAACTCAAGAGCTACAAAAAAGTTTTGTTAAATATGAAGTGATAACTAAAAAAACTATTTAATTTAAATAATTAACGATTGTTTCACTGTAAATTAGACAAAAGTTGCTTTAAATTAAAATAGAGTTTGCTTTTGTTAAAACCATTTAAAGAGGACTTTTGAATGGCTAAACTCAGCTAAGGAGTGGGGGGAAGCAGAGGTACGGCACCCCCCCCCCCTGAGAAAATTCCTGGAGCCGTCACTGATATGGTTAACAACTTATTTACCATAGCAACATAAAAAAGGATCAGATAAAATATAGAATAAGGATAGAAATATTCGCTTGAGACAAGGTGCTAAAGGATTCCTTATTGGCACGTGACGATGGATCCGCCTAGAGCAAATATTTGAAGGGAGGTGTGTTGTGGCGGGTACTCGAGGTAAACAAGAATAAAGAGTATCAACTAATAAAAAATGGAAGTAGGGCGGAGCCATTACCTAGAGATTAGCCAGCTGAGGTATAGAATACAACAATGCTCTCCTACAATAACTCCAAATGGACTCTCTTCCAACAACAATGGAAGGTTGAGTATCGTTTTAACCTCAGGAGCTCATTTCTACCTCGCCGCATGGAAGCGGCAGCTGAACCTTATCTCACCCTCATCCCGATGGAGCAGATCACCCTCACTTTTTTTTTAATTCACAAGAATTCTCATGTCTTTTCCAAAAGGATTTTTTAAAATAAATTGTATTTATTAATAAAAAATAGTAAACAAGTTCCTAATAATAGTAAATAAACCTCAACTTAATCAATATGTACTTAAAGTTTTTAAACTCGCAAGTTTCTTTAAAAGTGGGGTGTTATGGTTGGGTGATGTTTAAAAACAAATCGTGAATAATTTGTGATGTTTTAAAGACAGAACTTAGTTTAGTTTACCCCCTCACAAGTCCTCTTATATGGTATTCATAATGACAAACTCTATTTTATTTTCAAATACATATTGTTTCGTATACAGTTAAGCTGCGGTTTATTACTGAAATTAAATATTTCTATAGTTATCGCTTTCTGTTAAAAAAAAAAACAAAAAAAAAAAACGAATTAAAGAAACAACACAAAACTTGATTTTCCTTCTTTTCTGCTGAAAATTGGTCCATTGTTTGTATGGACTTTTTTTTTGTAGCTCTTGAGGTCTGCTATCTCTTCTATAAACATTTCCCTCTACTTGCGGGACTCCTTGTATAAATATTTTTTAAAATTTGTTTTAAGGTTTGAGGCAGTGAGATTAACTCGCAAATTTTCGAAGCTTCAAATTTGTCGCGGGATATGTGATGAAATCTTTTCGTAAAAAAGGAAGGGCGCACATGAATGAATCAGAAAATGGTAGGACATGTTGCCACATATTATTACCCTTGAATGTAAACTAAAAT